CCCACGGCTGAAAGGGCGAATGCGGTATTATGTAAGGATGATGGAAAATACCGTCCATACTTTCTTGTTTGCATTGTTTTCGAAGGATTGATATTAGCCATCCCTACATTTACTTCCTTCGTGAAAAGTTTTTTTCTTGACTTGTTTGTTAATACAGTGTTTCAATAGACATAGGAAGGTTGTATTTAGAACCAAGTTTATGTATTGTTTATTTATTATTGGCTGGTAATTACCGTTTCACTCTGTACTTAAACTTTTTAAAGGAACACCAAATTTCTGTAAAAAAAAAGCTAACTTCAAGGGCTAATGATAACATCGTTTACACTAGAATTGCGATTTTTTAAAATTACTACTAGTTATTAATAATACTTATAAACGAGGATTCTCCGTTTGAAACTATGTCACCTCAGTGAAATTGGTTAACACCATTGTTTTGTTTTTCCAAACTCTATGGTAGGATATTTATAGATATTCCTAAAACTTGTAACTCCCCCATTACATAGATATTGTCGTAAAAGAAAACACTGATGACCTATTTAAAATACCGTTTCGATGAACAATCTGAGCCATCTCTACGTGGGCAGTGCTACTTACCGCTTGCATGATATATATAAAAACGAAATATAACTATAGGTAGAACATGAACAAACAGGTTTCATTGCACACGGTTATTACCCATTCCTACAACGTACACAAGTTAACATTAATTTTGTACAATATCTACAAGTAATAACAAATTACAAATTAAGATCAATAAACTCTTGGGTTGAATATTAATAAAATAGAGTAACAGGAATGTGGAAACTAATTGATTTGTGTACTTTAAAAAAACAAAATTATGATGGTACTTGTGTGTGTGTGTGTGTGTGTTTATAGTTAAGCACAAAGCTACACAATGGGCTATCTGTGCTCTGCCCGCCACGGGTATCAAAACCCGGATTCTAGCGTTGTAAGTCCACGGACATACCGCTGTGTCACTGGGGGGCATGATAGTACATTAGAGAATAATTTAATTATTTCAAGAGTTTTTAATTTATGCGATTCTTTTGTTAAGCGCAAAGCTACAAAATGGACTATCTGAAATGTGCCGGATAGGTATCGAACCCCGGATTGTATCCTTATAAACCTTTACACTTATCGCTAAGCCACAATGTGGGGGGGGGGAACCTTCATTATACAAAGTGATTCAAGTCCACTGACGAGCAAATTAAAAACGGAGGGATACATGATCGAAAAAGGGATATTGTGGGCCTACCCTATGACATTATAATTGAAGGTCATCTTCAATGTCATGCATTTAGAAACTTAATCTGTATCATACAACAAACAATTTTTAATTGCAGAGGTATATTCAATAACAAATTAAACACTTTAAAACCAAGAATTACCAAAATCTGCCTACAGAAACAAGTATAAATACAGATGAGGTAGATATCCTATCAGTAGTTTGTAAATATTGGCCAGCAATCAATAATTGTGCTCAAAGTGTTGCCCAAATACAAACCTGGTGTCAATACTTGCTGCTTTTAGTCAAGCCAATACAGTATCTAGACATAAATGAACCTATAGCACTCGGCCATTGACAGATGTTGTGATATACATAAATGAACCTATAGCACTGGGCCGTTGACAGATGTTGTGATATACATAAATGAACCCATAGCACTCGGCCGTTGACAGATGTTGTGATATACATAAATGAACCTATAGCTCTCGGCCGTTGACAGATGTTGTGATATACATAAATGAACCTATAGCACTCGGCCATTGACAGATGTTGTGATATACATAAATGAACCTATAGCACTCGGCCATTGACAGATGTTGTGATATACATAAATGAACCCATAGCACTCGGCCATTGACAGATGTTGTGATATACATAAATGAACCTATAGCTCTCGGTCGTTGACAGATGTTGTGATATACATAAATGAACCTATAGCTCTCAGCCATTGACAGATGTTGCGAAGGATGAAGTTTGGCAGACATTCTGGCGATATTCTCCATACAGTACGACCACATTAAATACCGTGCATTGTTTAAATTACTTTAGAGCAGTTGCAGCACTAAGCTTGTGTGATACGTTATGTAGGAGGGATATAGTTTTGTACTTTTAAATCCTTCTAAAGTGCAATACCATGCTTATGCAAAAATTCTGATCTTGTGCCTCAAAACCTAAGTTTGTGTAAACAACTTTTGATATGGTAAATTTCCTTCAATCCATACAATTTTTTTAAGTGAATCACATTTTGTATATACTTTATTCTCTACAGCATGTCAGTCTAGAAACTTCACAGTATCGTTTGCGTATACCGGTATAGCATTAATTATCGTCAGTGTGCATTGTCATGGAAAACTTTTTCATAATGTTATCCCTACCCACTTCGTTTAGCAAAACAGTGAACTAACGACTATGTCACAACCAAGGTTTCTGAGAGTGAGCTACAAGTACATAAATAATTTTGCTGGGCATATACAAAATGGTGTGAGGAATTTAAAAAAAAGGGAAAGTAAAGAATTTCAAGTCACCAAAGTCAAAATTAGTTTAACTAAGGCCAGGAAAAATCAGAGAAATGCAGATAACAAGAACTCTTTGGAAGAATGCTTCATCTAGCAGCAATGACTAAAATCTGGATCTGGTCTTCATCTTTCCACTTACCATAAATGCTATTAACTCTGGTACATATGACTGACTCAATGACAGGACTGATAAATCACAGTAATAGACATATTGTAAAAAAAATAGCAAACAGGATAGCAGAGATGCATGTGCCATTGATATGTTTATCACACGAACTCTTGTGAATATACCAGTCACACTCAGAGAGACTGCAAAAGCTCATCTCACAAAGTATCTGTGTGCTTTATATCCGATTGTACGCATATTAAATTCATTATCTCACGTCGTGACCAACAGGATCCAAAATATTTAAACACTAAACTTGGCTAAATTCAAGACAGTTCTGTTGTAGTTCCTTTTAAAGGAGTGGCAGAAATACATCCTGCCTTTAAAAAATTACATACTGAAATGCACATTTTCTGCAGCTAAGTAAAGATGTTTAATGCTGCATTGTAAATCTTTTAAGTAAATACAAGATGACACCAAGTAAATATAAGACGTCAAGAGCACTTTAAAGGATGCAATGAGGCTTAGGTAAGGCACGATTTAAGATTATATAGTAGGTTCTCAAAAATATTGTGTTCCAAGTTTACAGTCTTTTAAGCTTGATATTTGTAACACCAGTGGGATCTTATTTATTTTTTCATGATGTTTTAGCATTCAGTACGATCCAATAAGAAATGAGGTATACAAACGAGTCGGTTTAACTTTTAATATTTATTCTGTGATTAAAAATGATAGACACCTAAAGCACAGAGAATGTAATTACTTCAAGTTAAACATTATGATAATTCAAAACGCTACAGCTACAGTACCTTAGAGCAATAACTACAGCTAACTTCTTGTTTATATAGAATTATATTACCATTAAATACATGAAAAAATAATTATTTAAATATTTTGAAAGGCACTTGTTTATTACACTATTTTTAATCATTTACCATAATTTTCTTGGATACTTCGTTTTGTGCTGTGTGTGTGTATAAAAAATCCCATCTTGAAATAAATTAAAATCATGTAATGTTTTCATATATATGATATAACAACCAGGCTACTGTTACGGCAGTTGCCGTTACAACAACCAGGCTACTGTTACGGCAGTTGCCGTTACAACAACCAGGCTACTGTTACGGCAGTTGCCGTTACAACAACCAGACTATTATTATGGCAGTTGCAGTTACAATAACCAGACTATTATTATAGCAGTTGCTGTTACAATAACCAGACTATTATTATAGCAGTTGCTGTTACAATAACCAGACTATTATTATAACAGTTGCTGTTACAATAACCAGACTATTATTATAACAGTTGCTGTTACAATAACCAGACTATTATTATAACAGTTGCTGTTATAATAACCAGACAATTATATTAGCACTTACTTTAGTTTCAGAATGCTAAATGTTAAAGAAAGCATTAATGTCTGATAAGTGTATAATAACTTAATTATCACAAAAGATTTTGTCAAAAATGACTGTTTCAGTTTGTTCACAGTACAAAAAAATATTTCAAAAGCCACAAAAGAAATCGCTTCATCATAGAAAAATAGGAACGTCAGATTAATCGACATATACAACTCTCATTGTGTTGGTGGCTCCAGCTCCCTTTCGCCAGCCTGTCACAACAATAACAGCATCACCAGGATTAATGAAGTCTCGCTTTTTGCCGAAATTGATAGCATACTGTATCCTCGCATCCACATCATGAGGCCAGTCTTGCAATCGTTCCCCTACAATATAAGACAACATGAAAATTCAACTTAGATTTCTTGCACTAAACTATTTGGAGGCAACATCCACCAACTCAACGAAAGTTTCAAAATATATAAAGAGCATGTATTCTGTACACGAACCCTAACTATAATATCTGTTCAAGATTGTGAAATTAAGTTTACTGTAGATTATACAGAATACTATTTTCCCCTTTTTTTTTTCTTCCATAAAATGATAAAAATACAACCAAGTTTATTTAGTTATTCATTAAAAAATACTAACCAGTAAAAAGAAGTGGTAAGATTCCCCGCCACAGATGGGCTTGGCGAGCTGTAACATTCAGACGAGAAACGGCTACAATGGGACACCGGGGACGATACTTTGCTAGCAAGTGGGCTGTTCTGTTTTGAAATGGAAAACTTTCATAAAAATAATTTCTTATAAAAAGAAATAAAACATTTACTTCCCGAACATCTACTTAAGTTCAATACCCTTTTCTTTCCAATTTAAACCACAACAATCTCTCAGTCGAAACAACAGGCTGAATAACCGATTTTATATATGAAATCGTAAATATCTAGAAACTGAAATATAATATTAATTTTACAACTGTGAAAATATTAAAATATTATTACTGAATACGTGAAACTGACAGTATTCTGGATTGATTATTTTATAATATGAAAGACAGCCATAAACATGTGAAAAGTTGAAAGTTAAATGAAAAAAAAAAACAATTTAGAACTATAAAAAAATTCTACTTTGTATCTTGAAACGGTGACAAGAGTAAACACTATTAATGGTGTTCAGTTTCAAGTAAATTTGTAATGCAGGATAAAAGTAACTGTTATTGAGTCCGATTTGTACTATAAGTTTGTCTGAAGAAAATTGTGAGACTATTACGAAGTCTGACTTGTACTTCTTGTTCATTTATATTGTGTACTTCCATCAAAAAAATTAAGCATTGACTGTACTTTCTAAATTATCTGGTATTAAAACTATTTTAATTTCAGCAGCCCAAGAATAACTTAGATAACTGTAACAATAATACATCTTAATTCTGGCAATGACACATTTATCTGCTGATAGTTGACCATTATGTTGTAGTCATAAAAATCAATACGATATCTTTTCTATGGTATAATATTCACAGTTAATCTTATTGCAGCAACAACACTAATAACAGCTTGTAATATAGCTTTCTGTTGCAGTAATAACAAGTGAGCTAACAATATTTTCTTGTGATGATGAGAACTTGTTTTGTTCCAATCATAACGCCAATAGCTTATTCTGTTAAAGTGTAGTGATAACTTACAATATATCCTTCTTTTATCCCGATAACAACATTAGCTTACCTTCCCGTAGTGGTGATAACAATAATAGCCGAGGCTAAGGATTTCATAGAAGCTGTAACTGCTGCTATAGCAACAGAATGTGTGGAATCAAGAGGAATTGGAGCCTTGGCAATAAGCTCTGTGAAAACATGTTTGTGAAAGATGGCTGCCTCGGCTTCTGTACAGATGGCATCCATGATTTTGACAGCTTGCAGAGGGTAGTCCCCCTTGGCTGTTTCACCGGATAACATCACACAGTCTGCCCCATCCAGAATAGCATTAGCTACATCAGAACTTTCAGCCCGAGTCGGACGTGGCTTCTTTACCATACTTTCAAGCATCTAATAAACATCCAAATCATCTTAAAATGTCACTACAGAACCTTCTCAAGAAAGTAGTTCATTTCTTAAACATTAAATAAAAAAGCAACATTGTTAAATTTTTAAAACTTCTAAAATATAAAATGGCATTAACAAGTTCAATAAATTTCATACAAAACTATACAAATATATTGGTTTGGGAATCTCTCTCTCTTTCTCTCACACACATTATTTGGTTACTGCTGTATTATAAATCATATTCATGCTGCATTTCCTGTCAAATATTTTCTAAAACTACCAGCTTTTTCAACCCTGAAAATTTTTATAAAAGTATTTTTGTAGAACCAAAAAGTGCCTCTTTGATATATTCATCTTATTAGGCATTTACCTGAGTAGCACAGATAACGGGTTTTCCAAGGATATTACATTTGGCAGTCATCATCTTCTGTGCAAGGAAGACTTTTTCTGGGGGAATTTCTATTCCCAAGTCACCACGGGCAACCATGATCCCATCGCTGACTTCAATGATTTCATCAATCCTACAGTCATGTTAAAACTTACATTTTCAAACTTTTCAAGATTATTTTAAAATTTTAAAGACAATTACTTCTTTTATATTTGAAACAATTATAAATAAATCTCTGCTGAGAAGGATAATAATATACTGTCAGAGTAATAGTAATGATGTTTAGTCATTTGTCATTAAATTACATTAAAACAAACATAAAATAATTATATTATAAAGCCAACGATGTGACTACTTGCACAACAAAACATGTCATCCACATATGGGTCTCTAAATGAAGTTAAATCATGGCTTGGGTCACATCAAGTGTATTAAACCTACTGCTTATTTCTGAAGAACTTAAATTTAAAACATGTATTGTGATTGTTATGATTACCAACATAAGAGAAATGAAAATTTTGTGACAGATAAATCAACAGCACTCTGTAACTTGACATACAACAGGAAGATCCAGTGTTAAAACAATGAAGTCACTTCTTTACAAATGTAATGTATATAAAAAAAAACAACCAAATAAACTAATCTAAGTCTACATAAAAGTTAAATCCTTACTTTTTAACACCTTCATGGTTTTCAATCTTAGGGACAATTTTAATATATTTGCCCTTATCTCCCAAGATCTGACGAATTTCTTTCACCCCAGCTCCATTCCTTATGAAAGAGGCAAAGATCACGTCTACCTGCAATTTTAAAATTGGCAATTACAAAGTTAATACCCTAGAGAATTCTATTTAAGTTTTTAAACTTTGTCTAAAGTATGATAAACAAGATTCTGAGTGGTTGATTAATTTATTATTTCAACAAAAAAAATATACTTTCATAAAATCACTCACCACCCCCAACGAAAAAGTGCATGTAATTTAAAACTCTACTATTTACATTTATACTCAAGAAAGATTAGGGGTAAAAATAGAGAATTCACACGAGAAGGGGTGGGCTTATTTTTCTGACAGAAACTAATTAATGGTTGAAGATCAGTTATTCTAGGATTTAGATTTATTACACAAGGTTGAACAGTATTTAAAGTGGCAATCCAGTAGGCTTCTTTCATTTCTCTATCAGCTTTAGTTTTGAAACCAGCTTCTGTACCTATGAGAATCACATCATGACCAGGTTGGTTGAAGAATTGGGCAACGAGGTGGGGGTGGGGTCTTTTTTTTTTATGTTAATAATAGTTATTGAAATGCTCTCCAAGAGTCATAATCACATCACTAACTATAAAAGGCTTATTCCCTTTGTCAAGAACACTTTCACACACTTTTTTTTGGTTGTGCTCAACAATACACATTGTCACTTAGCAACAAAACTATCACCTGACTGTTCTTAGGACAACTATGGTGTTTATGTTAAATGTTCAATATTCATGTTATTTTTGTTAAAAAGTTTTTTTTTATTCTTTATTTTTTGATAACTTTGATTAGATAATAGAAGTTTTATGACATTGAGTTGTAGTCAAAAGCAAAATAAAATTTACCAAGTAGTGTTTCAGCTAAGCCTTACCTTATATTTATGTATTAAATTAGACTACAAATTGGCCTACTATTACTAACATTATAGTCATTGTTTAAGTGGTGAATAAATGTTAATAAATATTCTTTTGGTATTTTAACAAATATATTATGAACTTTGCCTTAAAACATAAAGAAAAATAAACGTTTATTACTACCAAATATATTTTATCCTTTGTACATTTGAAAGAGTTGAAAATTTGTGTTGGAATTTCTGCACTATGTTTTCTACTTCCTGACCTAGAATACAGTGAAAAGGCTCAAAAGTATTATTTAGTACCCTTCAAAGTGCACACATGTTTGTTCATGATAATATTTCATTTTTCTGCGTAGTTTTTACTTAAAATGTGGTGATTAAAGAATTACTTCGAGACTGATGAAATAAGTAAAGAGTAGGTGTACTTTGGAGGTACAGATAAATTCGTTTTTGTTAAATTATAGAATTTTCATTAATCATTCAATAATGGTATCCCATCATTTTTGATGGTCTTTTATACTAGTAATTATAATGGCCATTTAAGACCAATATGATATCTTTTAATTGTTGAAGTACTGAATATTATAGCCTATTATTATTATTACATTTAAGATATAAAGTAAAATGTACCCCTTGTTCCACTCCAAACAATATATCTTCCTTGTCTTTTTCTGACACTGCGGGTAAATCTACAATAACTCCTGGGAGGTTAACACCTTTCTTGCTACCAAGCAACCCACCATTTTCAATCTCGCATTGTAGGAAATCAGCACCTACATAAAAAAAGTTTTATTCACTACATTAAAAAAATGGTATCAGTAAACTACACTATTAAAATGTCTTAATCACTTGCATCACATCGTTCTTTTCACATTTCATGCTTCAGATTTCCAACACCATGACACTGAGGGAAAAATTAAAATTGTGAAAACTCACACTGGATCTCATAAACCAACTAATCCACACAATCATATGGAGTTGGAACATATCCATACATACATTTTACCTAAGCCACCGAGTTATTTTACCTTTTTTACATTTCTAACTAATAACCTTTCCAAACCTGGTCAGTCGATAAACTTACCTACCACATAGTGACAGCATACATGTTAACCTTAAGTCTAAAGTTGGACAACTCAGAATATTAGTTTGTTTGTTTATAATTATGCACAAAGCTATTCAATGTGCTATCTGTGCTCTGCCCACCACGGGTATCAAAACCCGGTTTCTAGCCTTGTAAGTCTACACACATAATGCTGTGCCACTGGAGGGGACAGAATATTAGTTGATAATATGATCATAATTCATCAGCTTAGGTATTTTCATGACTTCCAGCAGAATCTACTGCTGCCAGCCTTTAAAATATTGGTTACATTTTACAAATTACAGGTTATGTTTAATGAAATCTCTGATGAATAAGTGCTAAATTATAACTAACTAAGTCCAATAGAACAAATACAGGTATATATATATATAACTAATTAAGTCCGATGGAACA